GCTCAGTCCAGGAATTGTGATTTTTTAACTTTTTTTTTTTCAGCTGGAAATAGTCATTTAATACCTACTTTTCAGCAAATTTCTGTCCTCATGGTTTGACCTGCCATTTGGGGGTTTGTACATCTGCTTGACTCTTCATGAGGCCAGCTGAGGAGAAAACACCTGCCAGCACAAACATGTCAGGTACACACGCTGTGTCTGGACACTTCTTTTGGATCTCCTTTTCCATCTGCCCCATGTTTGTGTAATCCAAAGCAAGGGCTGCACCAAGCCAATGCAGGGCAAGGGGAAGGGAATAAACAGTCGTGTTTGTTTTCCATCCTCTTGCTGTCAGATACAAAGAACAACTTCAAAGCAATACATAACTAAGTTAGGTGATACACCAACAATAATTAAAACGCCCCTGCAGGAAGTCATGTCACTGGAACAACAACTGCCTCAGAAAGCAATAACAGTTTTTTGCCAAAGGCATGTGAAACTACTGTACTAAAAAAAAAAAAAAAAAAGAATTGGCTCTTGCTTTAATCCATCCCTATCCAGGACAACTGGACCTAATTCTGAGACTGTGCTGGTTCCAGTGGGGTTGAGTTAAAGCACAGACTGACCATGGCAGTGGCCATCTCTGGGCAGAGCTCAGCCTCTGTAACTCCCTCACACTCTGCTTTTATCAAATCCTGTGTCACTCACCTCCTCCATCCAGGGTTCTGCCCCATGGGGAGCAAACCAGGACCCTGCACTGTTGGGTCTATTTACAAGGGCCTGGAGTGACAGGACTGGGGGGAATGGATTCAAACTGAAAGAGGGCATGTTTAGGTTAGATATTAGGAAGGAGTTCTTCCCTGTGAGGGTGGGGAGGCCCTGGCATAGCTTGCCCAGAGGAGCTGTGGCTGCCCCATCCCTGGAAGTGCTCAAGCCTGGGTTGGATGGAGCCCTGAGCAACCTGCTCTGGTGAAAGGGTGTCCCTGCCCATGCCAGGAGGTTTGGAATTGGATGATCTCTAAGGCCCAAACCGTTCTATGATTCTATGAGATGCAGGCAGAACTTGGGGCCAGCAGAAGGGGGGTGTGACCCTTGCCCAGAGGAGGGTGGTGAGGTGCCTTTGTGGCACTCTGAGTGTCTGTGTTACAAATTGGTGACATTCAGGGGGAAATTGCAGATAGCTGCCCACCATAAAGCACTGTACTGGTGATGACTTGCTCAGAGGCAAAGGCATCCCTGTCTGTGCCCAGGCTGCTCACTTCAGCATCATACCAATTTGCTGGTGTCTTTTTTACAAACAAGACCCAGGATCCACTAAAGCCAACAAAAAGACCCTACTCAGCTCTGGTTCATATTTTTGTACGTTTCTCATCACTAGAAGAAATGGTCCTCTTTTAACTATTGAGGGGGTTTTTAATGTTAAATTCTACACTCCCTGTGTAGCTTCCTTCTGTCCTCTGTGCTGCTTCAGGTGTCAGTGCTCTCCTCAGCACTTTCTTCTTTTTTTCCTTTCTCTTTTGTAGTCAGGATTGGAAAGAATGTTGCTGAATTGATTAGGAAGTTGAATTTGGAAGACTTTGCTTTAAAAGCCAATTTGCACTCCTTTATTTAGTGGAAGTGACTTGTTGAAGAGATCAACCTGTAGGAAAATGGAAAAGCAGTTGCTGCTTTATATTTTATTAAAGTAGCTTAAAGTATAGATGGTTAAAAAAAAAAAAAAAGAAACCAAACCAAAAATCCCCAACCCCCTGAATGCAGGTCACTTTGAAGAAAAGTTATTCAGAGCTTGAGCAATAAGCCCCAACAATGAAGTTAAGTTACAGACAAAATCCATGTTTTATCAATCAACTGCTACTTTCAAGTTTGACAGTTTTTGTAAGCAGGAAAATGTCAATTACAGAAGATATTTGAACCTGTGGAAATAACCCATGGAAACACAAAATGTCTGTTCACACATCAAAATGATCCAGACTCGAAGGAAGTTAAAAACCAGAATGCACTAAGGAATTATCTGACGGAAAAATGGAAACTTTGTTATGAATTTTCAAGAAATATTGGCTAATTAATTTCTTTGGTGAGTTTATAAGCTTATTTAGGATTGGAGAAAATGAGGTAACTTCCCTATTTTTCCTGATGTGTAACAGCTATGGAAACACTTTGAAATGAGTGTCCCATCATTATGAATTCATTTGGTCATCCTTTTAATAACAGGGATTGTACTCAGGCATTTTATGTGGACGTTACATCCCATCTCCTTCAGGTGCTGCATGGTCACTTTGCTGAGCACTTGTCAGCTGGGTCTTGTTAAATTCCCATTAAGGAAGGAAGAGCTAAATACCCAGCAAGAAAACTGAGAGGGGAAAAAAATCTGAAAAACACGTAGGCTCAGACCTGGAAAATTAGTTTTTGCAGAGCAGAAAATGTTCTGTATAAGCAAACAAAACACTGAAATTTACTGTTTTACATCCCTGGCTTCAAAAATTGTTGGGATCCAGGTTCTGCAAAGCAAAATGAAATGTATGGATTTGGTGCTCATGTTTTGAGCTTTGGAAAGTGTGTTAAGCCCACCTCAGCATTTCCTGGGGCCGAGAAGGACCGTCCACGTGGAGGTCTCGTAGCTAGTAGCAAGTTTATTTGGATTTGAGTTCAAATGTTGCAGCGTGTTGCTTTTAATTTACGAGTTCAGCTGAACAAATTAGGATGATTTTATATCTGCACAAGTGCCCGTGTAGTGTTTTGAAGCTCTTTTACTGGTCTGATGAAAATAAGCAATCTCCCATTAAAACTCCAGCTATATGAATGCTAAATTAGTGCCCAACATTATATAGTCAAATGAACTTGTCTCCAGCAGTGAGAAATACAGCTTGTTGCTTTTTAATATATCTGGGAAAATTTCTCTTTTTTTTTCCATGGAACATTTAACATTAAAGACTAAACATTTTTAGTCTAACCTGGAATTTTTTCAGTGTGGAGCTGAAATGGGAAAGTTTTCAGCTAAAATCTTCTTTGTGTTATTGAATTTTTTAATACTACTTCTGTGAAGTATTTCCTTTAGTTAGACAATATATTTTCTGTCTAAAATCAGGAATATTCTACAGCATAATTAGGAATATTTAGTTTATGGGGGTAATTAGCTAGATGGGCTGAGGACCCTCATGCTGGGTGGGGGCCAAGCATCACTGTTCACCTAAATCTGCCTTTTTTTTTTTTCCTTTTTGCCTCAAATTTCCCTCATGCCAAGGGAGCAGTATTACAAAATCTTTGGAAACCCCCAACAGCTCAATGCTGCATGAGTAACTGAGCATTAAACAATTAAAATACCGTGCTGTTAACACCAAATACCATTTCTCAATGAAATTAAGACATTCCTGAAATGAAATCCTGACTGCCCAGTATATAATTTCTTTCATGCCGAGCTGGGTGTTGCCTGGGCTGTGCTCAGTGCCCTGCCAGCAGCTGGAGCTGAGGTCCAGAGTGGGTCTGGGTGGGTATTGTAAGGGTTGTGACACAGGACTGTTAGTGCTGTGCCCACCTATTCCTTGGGCTGGAGAGAGTGATGTTCCAAAGGCTCTGTATTGGATACACCTGCAGCAGGCACTTCCCAGAGAGGCTCTTGGAGCTCTTAGGGGAGAGGAGCAGCAGCCCAGCTCAGTGCTCTACATCAGCCTGCCTGGGAGGGCGATCACAGGGCCGCCCTCAGCCTCTGGGTGACTCGAGAGGTGACTCAGAAATCATCTAGGGAGCCTTGGGTTGATCGATGCCAGCAGATCTCTGCCACGCTGGGAGCTATTAAGTTGTATCCTGAAGTAAAATATCACTTGGGCTTCTCACCCTCAGTGAGGGAGATGGATCACCCAGTAGGATCAGGAAGACATTGTGCCCCTTTGCTCTTCCAGTGGTGCAGCTCCACTAAGCACCATCTCCCTTGGTGTATGCCTGGGTGTTCCAATGAGGAGGGAACAGCCAGGGCTGAGCACTTGCTGGGCTGCTCAGCTGTGTGAGCAAAGAGCCCTCCCATGCAGCAAACTCAAGAGCTCAGCAGATGACCTGATTAATGGGGTTTACAGAACTAACCCCATCAGGTTATGAAACATCCCTGGTCCTTCCTCCTGCCCGTGGTGATGTTACTTAGCCCTTGCTGTCACTGAGTTGGATGCACTGGAGGCTGTAGCTGCCCGGGGAACGGACTTTTTATGATCCCAGAGCACCAGCTCAGATAGTTGTCCTAAAGTGAGTTCCAAGCAAGCAGCCTGACATCATTGGATACCATTACTGACACCTGTTTAGTAAACAGTAAAATTACATCAGATCTTTTCAGCACCAGGTTGTTAAAAGAGAGCTCAGGCACAGATGTAACCTCCAGAATGAATAGGAGAATTCATTAGGCATCAGGGTCTTTAAACTCATCAGGCTTAAATGCTGATTTACCTCACACCATGGCTGTTAGCAAGTGATTTAGTGACAAGGGATTGACAAGGTACATTTTCCTGGAGGGCACAATAAATAATTTTTTCATCCTGAAGTGTTTCTGCAGAAATGTTTATGTATTTGAGTATTCAAAGTTAATTAATTTTCAGTAGTTAGACAGAAGGTGCTTTTTTTAACGACCGACAAAAATCTTGTGTGAGTTCATCTCTTTTTACAGTATTATTTGGTGGACTTTTCCTTCATGATCTAATCTCACAGTGGAAAACCAAATAAAGATGTATTGGTAAGCAGGAATGAGTTCATTAGTCTGCTAAGCTGGTGTTATAGATGAAGACGATGCTTTCACATTTTGGAAATAATACTTTTCCTTGGATTAAGAAGCCACAATGCTCGCATTGAACTAATCAGTGCCATAGTTGGGTAGACCATCAGTATGATCTTAGCTGACTTTCTGACCTGTTGTTTCTATTGAGAATGGAAAAAAGAAGCCTTGAACTATCCTGGTTGTCTCACGTTATCAGTCCATTAATGTTAAAAGTTGTTCGCTGCCATCTCTTACAGTTGTTTGTGGTTTTTTCTGCTTGTTTTGGCAGGTGCTTGTTCACGTATGAGTGAGAATGAGATGCAGCCATCAAACAAGAGGCACATTCCTTCAGACGTCTTCCAAATGGCTCAAGGTAGGAGGATTTCAGTGCTGCCTTCTGGGTAGTCCAAGCTCATAGAAAAAATAAAATAAATTGAAGGTTTTAGTGATCAGAACTTAGATTTGAATCAGGCAATACATCATTATACATGAACATACCTGTGTGAGGTTTTTCCATTACTACTGAACTGATTCTAAATGAAATATTTTGCTTTAAGGTGTTTTTCCATGATTTTTAGAGTTAACGAAACGGAAATTTTCATGGAGAAAATTTTTGAGCTTTCCTCACTCCAAAATTTCTCCCAGTGGAGCATTTCCAGCAAGCTATAGCTATTAATGTAAGTTAAAGCAAATGGTAGATTGAGGGGTATTTTAAACGGTCACGTCAAGTTTTCAATGCTTAATTAAACAGCCCTTTGCTGTGTGCCCATTAAATTCAAATAATGCCACTCCAACCACTGATCTAAGGCTTTTAAATGACAAAGGGCTTGGCCTGCAGCTTGATTTGTGGTTATTAGCAATTTTCCTTGCCATTTTCCCTTTCAGAGCTGGTTTAGACTTTAGAATCCAAGCGTTTTAGGTTTGCCTTTTAAATTCCATTTTTCTACTTGCCCATGCTCTGCACTAATACTGAAAAGGACATGAATTTCTCCTGCATTTCTGTTACTTACAGCACATTCTTCCAGGGTGTAAGTAAGCTATGTTGATCTTTGCTAGGATGTTGACACAGCAGCTCTTCCCATTCCCAGCAAAGGATTTCAGCAGTTAATTTCTCTGAATTATATATAGGGGCAAGGAACTGGAAAATGGTAGGGGCTCAGGAATGGGTCACTTGCACACAACTGGTGTTTTAACTGTGGTAGCAACCTGTCTACAAATAGTTAGAGCAAGGCTCCCAGGGCAGGTCTAACACAGTGCATCCCTTTTGAATGGCTTGAGCAAAATGCGAGCAAGCTGATTTTATTTAACCAATATGGACCCCAAAGCATCTCATTCACTCTCAGTTTGTTGAATTGAATCAGTAATTTTCCTGTGTTATGTGAATGCCCTATTTCTTTATAGAGTTTTGTGTCCAAGCTCATTCTGGGGGGTGGTGACTTTTGTGGTTTCTTCATAGGCAAAGAATTTGTATGTTAATTGTTTTGTGCGTGTGCAGTAAGTTGCCCACATCCTGAAGTGATCGTTCTGCCTGGTCTCTGTTTGGGATCTCCACGTTTCCCACCTTCACAGTTTGTATCAGGCTCGTGTTGCTGTTGTTTCAGCTCACTCTGCCCAGGTGCTGGAGGACATGTATTTTACAGGAGCTTTAGTTCTCCTGCAGTAGCTGCGTAGCAGGAATTTCCCTCTGTGAAATTCATAATCAGCGACTCATTGCCACGGAAAGTTGCACTTCCAAGGGCCAGCCCCTGGATGTACTGAGATACTGAACTCACTTTGCGGTGACTAAGCTCCTTTGAAAGCAGGATTTAGACTTTTTAAGCTGTGTAAGTGTTTCTGCAAATCACATGTTGGTTCATGAAGTAACGGGTGCCGGTGCTTTCCTTGGCAGTCACGCTGATGGTCATGTTCAGAAAGCTTCAACCGGTTGTTTTCCAATCCTCGCTAATAATTTGGGTCAACAGTCATGTCTGTCAAGCCTATCCTATAGCACTTGCAAGCCTGAAATACTTTGTACAATGTTAATGAAGATGGGAGAGGACTTTTTCCTGTCCTGGGAACAAACTTAGCATAACAGTTTTCTTGTGTCTGTGTAAGATTTTTTCTGCCGACAGGGCGGAAAGAAAAAGGCCTCTGCAAAAATAGTAGTTTGATTTTGCTCCTTTGTCTGCACACATTCAAGCGAAAGCTCACGGTGAAAGAAGAAAGCGAGAAAAGTGGCAAGGTAATGTAGTGATGGCGAGGGAAGGCATTCCTCCTTCCAGGAGGGGATTCCTCCCCCTGTGAGGCCTGTCCAAATCCCTGCTGAAATACGACCTATCATGTTTTAATCCCCAAAGGTTTCTTGCACCGTGTTATTTGTGTAGGCTGGTTTTGTTTTTCCCCACCCACAAGAAGGAGGAAAGAAAACACAGGCTCCAGCTCTTACACAGTTTGGTTTTTTTAATTTTTTTTTCCCCCCAAGAGTTTGGAGGTTTTGATGGGATAAACTTTCCGCTTGGTTGACACCCCCTTATCTGAAGGGCAAGGACTTGGGTGGTGGGAGAGGGAGCTGGGATGTGAATGCAAAGCCTGGTACTGCCCAGAGTGGATACTCCTGCTGAGCTGCCTTCTGTGGATTATTTAATGGCTTGTTTCCCAGGTGGATTAAGCTGGATGTGATAAAGGCACTATCAGTATCCACCCATGCAGGTATCGATAAGTAGCTGTCCTGTGATAACTGGAAAATTTGTTTTCCAAGTTAGACAAGTCCCAGGCTGAAGGCTCTTAAAAGCCTCCAAGAGGTTTAGCAACACGTAAGCTGGTTTTTAGCAAGATTTGTCATCCTCTAAAGATAAGCAAAGATGACAAAGTGAGTGAGTGCAAATGTTCTTTGCAGTTCTGGACAGCTGTTCCAGTCGGGCACTCTGTGCCTTGGTTCTTGACCAGAGAGGTGTTTCTGGTTTATTAATGTCTGTAGAATTCATACCAAAAGCCCATGCCTATGTTACTGTGAAGCTGCTTCGTAGTCCTATGGTGGCCAGCCTAGAATCAGTAACTAGTAATGAATAGCCAAAGCAAGCAGTTCACTAACATTCCAAAAGGTGTAATAGGTAACAATGGTGGCCATTCCTCAAAATGGCGATCATTCCATAAAATGGCACCTCTTCTCCTGCTCTGTACCCTGTGGTTTCCCCAGACACAAAATGGCGGCCATTCCACAAAATGGCAACCATTCCTTTGCTACGTGGTTTCCCCAGACTTGAAATGGTGGCCGTTCCCCAGCTCCACACCCTGTGGTTTCCCCTGACACAAAATGGCAGCTGTTCCCATCTCTGTGCCCTGTGGTTTCCCCCTACACAAAGTGGCAGTCATCCCTATATCCGTGCCCTCTGGTTTCCACAAACACAAAATGGTGGTCGCTCCCATATCTGTGCCCTGTGAATTCTCCCAACACAAAATGGCGACCGTTCCCGTGCTCCGCGCCCTGTTGTTTCCCCCGACACAAAATGGCAGCCGTTTCCCTGCTCCGCGCGCTGTGGTTTCCCCCGACACAAAATGGCAGCTGTCCCACAAAATGGCGGCCACTCCCCTGCTCCAGGCCCTGTGGTTTCCCCAGGCACAGCCTAGTGTAATATCTGTCAAACTTAGAAAAAGTAAGAAAGAAATTCCTATTTTATAAGGTGGATTTTAAAAGAACAAGAACTATATGTAAATTTTACCTGACATTTGAATATGAGCTCTCTTAACCAAGCTGGGGAAAATCAAGTCTGTTTAAAGCAAGTTGTTTCCTTTTCTTTAATTGCTTTTTCTTTACAAGTGCAGTTACACAAATTTATGTTTTGAGAAATAATTGATGACAAAGGCCAGAACTAACCTGCTTTAAAAAAATAGAATTAACTAATTCTGTTAGAATATAGAATTCATATTTAGAAAATTAGGTTTAGATCTATTTTTGCTTCAAAGTTGCAAATTTTATTTCTTATTCAGTAGGAAGATTGAACAAAGGCCAGATAGGACTGCAAGTCATACATGCCAAAGGCAGCTGGTTTTGAGAAATATGTGTGCCTGTGAATAAGAAAAGAAAGAAAGAAAGAAAAGTCTTAAGAAACACCAAACATAGATTATTTTAAATTTCTGGGGCAACATGGGAATGGGACACCATAAATCCTTGGAGCCAGCTGTACTGTCTGCATCCAGCAGGATTGGGCCCACGTACTTGACTCCTGGGGCTCTGCATCTGCTCTGCCTTCTCTTCAGTGATTGGTCTGTGACAAAACCCGGTTTAATATAGCAGGGCTCGACCGTGCTTGTTTTTATAAAGCCAAAATTCTGCCATAAACAGGTTTCAATTGTTGCTGGTTACGGCCACAGCCGAGCATTTGCTCAGCAGTTGGCTCATTTCATCCAGCGCTGCTGAGGTTCAGCACTCGCCTGGGTTATACCAGGTCAGCTTTTCATTTCTTCCTTTTTCTTTCTTTCTCTCTTTCCCTCTCTCCATTTTTTTTTTTTTAATCAAAAAAGGTTTTTATTGGTGCTCTGGAAAAATAAACACAACACACCGCTGTGAGTTTTGTAAGTGAACCAATAAAAAATGAAATTCACTGATGGATTCTTTAATAGCAGCGAGCGAGCCCTGGTTCCAAATGGATTTTATATTGTGCCATTGTGTAAACAACGTGCAATGTGATAGCCCTGTGCTGGGGGTGCTGCCCTGAGGACAGGGAGCCCTTCCAGGCCTCTTGTTCCCTGTCCCAAGGGGTTCAGCTGTGTTTTGGGGTTAAATATCCAGAGGAGTGGGAGCTGCTGAGCCCAGGTGCCCTAAGCCCGCCTGAAGGTTTAGCATTCATGGTCAGTCCCATTTGGTGGTGCCTTTAGTGGTTGCTTTCCAGTCACCCTGCTTGTGTCTGCTCGAGGTATTGCTTTCGGAGCCTCAGCAATTTTTATAACAGCAGGTTTGAACACTTTCATTTAGTGAAACAGTCCCAGAGAAAACATTCAGAGCAAGGTTTGCAACTCCACTTAGGAACATCTAGTCAGGCAAAGGTGCCAACTTGGACTCTTGAAAGCATGGTAGCGTTTCATATTCTCCATCATTTCTTTGAGGCCATTCCCGGAGCCTGGTGAGGATGAGGGCTGGGCTCAGTCTGACTTCAGGGGGACAATCCTTGGGACCAACGCAGAGCGACACCATCACTTTGTGCTGGGCCTCGTCTTTGGCCAGAGGGTGCCCACAGGGAGCTGGTGTGCCCGCGGCACTCCTGCTTTCCCTGTGTTGGAAAAGGCAGTTCTGCCTCCTAGCAGGCATGGAGCACAACAGTAAGTTCCTGAACATGTGTTGTCTGGCTCCAAAACAGAGAGATTTTTGTAGCCTCTAAAAACCAGTGTAAGATCTTG